TCTGTGAAACTGGTGCACAAATCGAAATATGTCAACTGGGGTGGCGATCTTGTGCGCCCTGTTCTGTTGATGTCGACTTCCAAACAATGTTAAATCGGGGATTTCTTGCTGCTTTTGTAACGGTGCATATTGCTGCTAGTAAACGTCCACCTTTGCCATCGTTGTTTCTGGGACATGTGCCTTTCGTTTTTCCTTATGGACAGCCATCAACACCAGGTGGAGATATTCTGTGCAAGGCAGTGAAGATGCGAACAGACATTGCGATTGATGTCCCTCCCCCCCCCCCACCCCCACCCCCCCACCTTCGACTCAAGTGTCATGTACTTCACTGCTGGCAATAAGATATGGGGAACTTCAGCCTTAGTCCGTCGCCCCACAAGGGAATGGCATTCTGACCCATGCACACTTTGCAGCTTGAGTTGGACGTCACTGGGGACAAGGGCACAGTGCCATGTTGGAACTCAATGCATTCTGCTGATTGGCAACACATTCCCATAGCATTGACGCACAGTGTATTGCACCTTCCCCAGCTCCCTCGCCTCATCAATACCAGGGCCCTGCAACTGGAGATCTTTCGAGTGAGGTTGCAGGGAGAGCCGGGCAACAGGCCGCTCATGCCCCACAATTGTGTGGCTGGCCTGATGCCCAAAAGCGAAATCCTGTATCTGCTGATGAAGTGGGTGCAGGCCGTGGTGGAGCCCCATGGAGTCCAAGTGAAGAACTTCACGTCATCCTTCGCCGATGGAAGCGTGCTGTGCTTGTTGGTGCGAAATGGCTTGTTGGGTCGCAATTTAGAGGGGGATCCGTTTTCTTCGCCTTGAGTGGAAAGTAAGTCAACGTAAAGACGCTCTAGCTCGTCTGCTTAACGTGGGCGCATACTCACAACGGGGCCACATGATGAACTAGTTGATGTTCAGTGGCCTGTTGCGTGACTCGTCCATGACTCGTATTATAATTGAAAAGGAAATAATTGGATACTATAATTGGAACCGGGATTTTGACGTATCGTTTTGCGCTGCTTCCACTGCGCAACTCAAGCATCACGTGCTCCCCATTCCGCTGACCGCACTGTATGCAACGAGCTCCAAGACACGGTTTGGTGAGCTGCCCGTACTGTTTGTCCTAAGCGTTTCTGGCCATGCGGCCGAGCACGGCTTTGATCCCCTGTCGCAACCACCCCGCAGGTCAACCACTACCTCCCCAACTACCTCCTCAAGGACGACATCTACATCCCGCGCGGGGCGGCCAGGATCAGGCCGGCCCCCCTGGCGCCCCGCCCCGACGACAACGGCGCCGACGCCCCGCGCCATCCCTCGGGCCCCAAGGACCGCCGACGTCTGGTGGCCCGCAACTTCGAGCTGGCTTCCGAGGCCGTCTGCGCGCTGGGCGGCACCCCGGAGGCCCCCGCCGCTGACGACTTTGCCCATCACGGTGCGGAAGAAAAGGCGATCGTCCTCTTCGTCGCCTTCCTCTGCGCGCGCCTTCTGGAAACTTCGAAGGAGGATCGCGCGGCCTTGGTCATCCAGCGCGCCTGGAGGGGGCGGATCTTGCCCACCGTCAATGCGGGATTTCACCTGAGGCGGTTCGAGGCGGCAGTTGGGATCGTGCAGAGGTCCGTGCGGTCGTGGCTGGTGCGCCTGCGGGAGAATGATGGGCGCAGGGCGTTCATCGTGAGGATGCAGGCCATGCGGCGCGGGCTGGTGCAGAGGCGCCGGTATCTGAGGATGAGGGCGGCCGCACGCACCATCCAGGCGCGGGCCAGGGCGTGGCGCGAGAGGCGGCGGTACCGAGAGGTCCTTGGGGCCACGCGTCGGCTGCAGGTGGGCCGGCGCGGTCACTCCCGTGCGCCTGATCTGGCCACGGCACCGAAACTTTTTGGCGGGCCAATCTGCCTGTTTTTGCGCAGGAGCCGTCAGCAAAGCTCCATGGAGCTTTTCTACCAGCTCCTGCGCAGGCGCGTAGGCCAACACGCATATTGTGAGGTAACATCGGTGTGCGTTCTCCCAACGAATTCTTGCACTATACCCAACCAACCGGGTACGAAAACCAACGTGGCTCCATGCAACATGGCGCTCAGTTCCGTGCACGCACAGGACTTTGTGAAACGCAATTCATCAACCGGCGTGGTCGCGCGCTTTTGCCTGCAGGCAGCTCGCCGGGGTGCCATCCAGCGCAGGAGCTACCTGCGCGTGAAGAAGGCCGCTTTGAAGGTGCAGGCCACGAGGCGGGCATCCGTCCAGCGGCGCCGATACCTCCGCGTTCGACAGGCCGCGACGACGATCCAGGCGGGCGCGCGGACGTGGCGCGCGCGCAAGGAATATCATCGGATACTGCACACGACCAGCAGGCTGCAGGTGCGACGAAATTTACCTGAAACTGGCAGGGGAGCCCTGCGCTGGGCGCCTCTTGTGCAGGGCGTTTCCTGAGAATCCTGTCCTGGAGCGGCGGTTGGTGAACTTTGGTGAGCCTTTTTTTGCCGAAGCTTGTCTGCACGCCCACTTGCGAAGTGTAAACGGCGACGTCACCGATTCCGGTGATGGAAGGGCAGTGGTGCGCGCCCATTTCCGCAACTGCCCATCCGTGACGCGTGACGCCCGCTAGAAGGGTTCTGATGACGCGCGGAAGGCGTGGGGGCGTGCTGTGCCCAAAGCCGACTCGGTGAGCAGACCACCGGACGCCAGTGGGCCCTGTGTGTGCTGCCGAATTGGCCTGATTGCCAGGTGCCAACGACTTATTCGAAATGCATGCCGGCAATGCTGTTGTGCCCTTGTCCGCAGGCCACTCGTCGCGGCGCCATCCAGCGCCGGAACTTCCTCCACGTGAAGAAGGCCACTTTGAAGGTGCAGGCCACGCGAAGGGGGTCCGTCGAGCGCCGCCGGTACCTGCGCGCCCGCAAGGCCGCGACCACCATCCAGGCGGGGACACGGGCTTGGCGGGCACAGAAGGAGTACCGCCGGAAACGGCAAGCAACCAGGCGGTTACAGGTAGGATGGGCCGCATACGCAATGTGCCAGGCACCAGTAGAAAACAGCCTGTTTGCGATGCCAACAGCAATGCCATCTGACACAAATTGATGCCATCACAGCCCTTTTTATGCCATCGCACTCACTGTGACGGCATCAGTTTGCGTCAAAATGGCATCGCAGCTGGCGTCGCAAACATGATGTTTTCTACCAGTGAGGGGAAGGGCTTCAGCACGTTCCTGTCAGTCATCAGTTTGAGCGAACTGCGTAAGTTGAGTCAGTTGGAGATATCATACAGATGATGCGTAGGGAGTTCGAACGATACCTAACAATACGCGACTTTGGCAACGTGGCAGGCAATCTAGAACCCCTACCTGAGACAAATGTTAGGAAAAAACGACAATGTTATATTGTCCATTATTTCAACAACTTCTTCAACAATATTTAGAGAATTCCATCTTTAGAATTATCAAGGCGATGAGCAAGTCCCTTGATGCGACAGTAAAAGGACTCAACAAGCAATACCATCTGTGGTAGGTCCCAAGCCCGTGACTATGGATTTTGCTTTGATGCAGTGCAATTCCACAAAAGTAGGGTTAGAAGAGCCGTCGGCATTTTACTTGTGGTAGATTTGTAGCACACTTGTTTATCTTCTCCAATCTGTTTTGTGCATAACATGCTGATATGTGGCCCCACTCCAGGCGAATCGACGAGGAGCCATCCAGCGCAGGCACTACCTGCGTGTGAAAAAGTCTGTCCTAAAACTGCAGGCTGGCGCACGAGGTTGGCATGTTCGCAGGGACCACAAACGGGCGCTGTTGGCGGCCACCCGGCTCCAGGTGAGACATTTGTTCCTCCAGGGCCGCAATATCTTACAGTGCTCACCAAGTGCTGATGCTTGTGAGGGCGAAATGGCTACAACAGCAGCCATTCCAAACAGGATTGCCCTTGTTTTCTGATTCATTTCAACTTGAAATTATTATTTCAATGGACATTGCGAGTGGGCGCCGTTGCAACTACAATGTCACAATTGTTTGCTCGTAAACTTGTAAAGAGCGTCGCTCCTAGAATGGCTAAATTCACTCTGCCATTCATTTGTTGCTCCCAGAGCTTACTGGTTGCCGATTTGTGGTTCCTCATGTGGGCGGAATCGTTACAAACATGTACTTCAACAGTCAGGCTTGGGAGCAATAAATGTAACACCAGTGTTGCATTGGGATTGAAAATCTGGATGAGGAGAAAGGTAACGAGTTTGGTTCTTAATCTGCATCTGCAGGCTTTGCGTCGTGGGGGTGTCCAACGGAGGAATTTTCTGCATGTCAAGCGGGCCGTTGTCAGAATTCAATCTTTTGCAAGAATGCGCCGTGCACAATTGCGTTACAAGCGCATCACCTGGGCAGCGAAGCACATGCAGGTGTGGAACGCTCTATCTTTGGTCCTTTGATCGTAAATTGAGCATTGTTGTGTTCAGATTCCATTCCCTTCTTTCAGAAGAGGACTGGATGTTTGGCACGCTTGCCTGGCAACTTCTGCCTGCATGGTGGTGCCTAGAGACAGTGCCGAGAACATTTATACCATCCTATGTTACAAGCTCCATTTTGACGGCATTTGTTGTACTCAGTGAGTTGCAACATTGGCTTAGGCAGAAACTTGCCATCATCCACAAGCCTGTACAGTGCTGTTTTGTTGACGATGCTAGTTCATTCAGTGCTGATTCGCTTGTGGATGACATGGATGCCCAGGGACCCTTATCAGGGTTGGTATTGCTGTCCATAGTATTCAGAATGGATTTTTGTTTGTTTTCAGTGACAAGAGATGTTCTTGTGTCAACATACTCCGTTTTCTGTTGCAATTGTGAATCGCATGCAAGAATGAAGCACAACTGCTGTTGCCATTGTTGGCGTTGATGGACCAACTCACTTATTTTTCTTCTAAATTCCTTGTTTGCTGGTACTCTGAACTATGTCTGTGAGATGTGCATTCCATTGTGGCACCACATGGTCCCTGTTGTTCCTTTGTCTCAGTCAGTTGAACTGAGGCGTTCTGATTGTCGAATCCCTGGCCACGTAGTATGTAGTAATTCTGTACTGTGTCAGTAAATTGGGACCATGCAATTTGATGCGCCTTGTGTGTTCTCAGGCTGCTTGGCATGGGAGGGTGCAGCGCCATATCTTTGCAAACACCAAACGTGCTGCCATCGCAATTCAGAGCTGCTGTCGCATGTGGCGGGCAAGGAAGCACTACCAAAGGTTGTTGAAGGCTGTCGTGTGCATCCAGGTGGGACAACATGATTTTTGTCAACCCAAAACGCACCAGCCTGTAGTGGATGCCAGGACCTCTGAGGGCATCCAATTATGAGTGGCATCCAAATTTGACTGGCCAGGGTTGGTTTGTGGTAATTGCGGATTCATCACACTCTCTGCAAACCTGTTGTTTGTGTGGTTTTTAGCAATGCATTATGACGTGGCTGAGTGCCGAGCTTCACAATCTTATTGACAACTCTTGTTGGTGACTCCAATCTCAGCAAGATACAATGTAGAACAGAGAATTGTTCAGCTGCAGCACAGATTCGTTGCAGGAAAGAGCTTCTTTTCCATCTGAGATGCTGTTGCTGACAGCAATAAATTGCCCAAATCTGCTTTGCAGCAGCTATCCCCTCAGTCGCACGCATCAGAAAAGCAAACACAAGCACATTCGCCTCAAATTCTTCAATGCCATCCCCAAAATATGAACAAGAACACCTCCATTGGTCAGCAACCACGAGCAATACAGGCTCTGTGACATGGAAGACATCAGGCATATTCTGTTGGTTTTCAACTGGAATATAATCAGCACAGCATCAGGCTTCTCATATCACGTTCACTGGGAGTGGGCGCCCCAGTAGCACTTATTCAAATTGTTGTGGCCAACTGTACCTCTGCTGTAAGAACAGAAAGCTGTATCAAGAGATGTGTGACTGCTACATTTCTGAAATACAGCAGCGGCAACGCGATTCCTATTGCCTTCTGCTTCAGAGCATCTTCAGAAGCTGTAGCGAGTGCACTCTGCCCTTTGCCACTGCCTCTCATGGATCTGGTTTTCTGCTTGTGGCAGGCTGGCTTCCGTTCCTTCTCATGGAGGAAACGATACATTAAAACTAGAGCAGCCATAGTGCGAATCCAACGCTGTGCACGTCTGTGGATGATAAGCAAGGCGCAGCAACGTGACAATGCAGCTATCTGCATCCAGAGGTTAGTCCTACCTGTTTTCCTCCTCTCCTTGGGCAGTGGTCACTTATTTCGTGGCTTCTGGCATGTGCGTTGGTGCGGTTGCTTTTGTCAACTGCTTTGCAAATCTGCGCGTATTTCTAGTGTCAAATGACTGATTCCAGGACCATGCCCACTGCAGAATCTTCAGGGGCTGGCGTGCAAGGAAGGCACTGGAGTGCCAGCACCGTGCTGCTGTCTGCGTGCAACGCTTTGTGCGGGGCCATCTTGCTCGCATGGACCTGCCAGCAGTGATTGCACGTGCCGAGGAGCGCAAGGCCCAGGCGGCAGCTGCCAGAAGAATTCAAGCACACTGGCGTGGGATCCTTGTGAGGAAGTGGACGAAGCCAATTCTGGAGGCTGCCAGGCAGAGGCGGCGGGAACAATGGGCATCTGGCGTAATTCTGAAGGTGCTTGTCGTTCTCTGTCACTGCTGGACAAGATGTCCCTTTTGCCTGTGCCCATGTATAGATCTGAAGCAGAGTTGGATGTCAGTGGTCAAAAAGCAGCAGCATGACGCCCTGGCATGCTGTCGGCAATGCCAGCTGTAGTTCCATTCACGGAGTGTTCCGAAAACTGTTTTTTATCGTCTCCATCATCAAAACAAGGGCCACATACTATACTGAGTCCTGTCTGGTGCATTGGGATTGACAATGCAATGCATGGCTTGGTACACAATCCATGGAAGGCTTTGTGGATGTCACTTCTCAATTCAATACAAGGACATGGAGCTTGTGACTTGCCAATTTTCAATCTGCAGACACCTTTTGAGCGTCTGCAGAGTGTACTTCTTTCAATCCTTGTTGCAAATGCAGAGATACAGAATTCGTGCCTCAAGTTTGCTCAGCCCACATCCAACCAATACATGGATATTTCATCAATGCATGGGTACTTCATTGAATGCATGTTTTGGAATCAAAAATTGGATATTTCATTGCATGGATATTTTGGAATCTAAAATGGATACTACATTTCATGGATGTTTTGGAATCTAAAATGGATTTGTCATCTCATCGATATTTGAATTCTAAAATTGGGTACTTCGTTTGCCACGGATATTTGGGAATCCACCAAAACTTCCAAACCCCTAAGCTCACTCCAGGGCCGATCCCGTCCTCCCGCAGGCGGTGCACAGACGCCGCGCAATCCGCCGAGCCGCCCGCCTGGCGGCCGCCAGGCGCACCCTCTCCCGCTGGGCCCCCGCCTTCCTCGACCGCTGCCGCCTACTCCGCGCCCGCCGCGCCGCCACTACCATCCAGCGCGCATGGCGCCGATCGCTCCGACGCCGCCACGACGCCGCCGTGGCCATCCAGGCCGGCGTCCGCCGCTGGCTGGCCGTCAAAAAGCACAAGTCCGATGTGGCATCGATCATCAAGCTGCAGGCCCTGTGGAGGGGCAGGATGGCGAGGATGCGGGCCGGCGCAAAATTCGGTCGCGTTCGCCGGCGGCTGAGGGAGAGGGCGGCCGAGGCGAGGCTGCGGCCGGAGAGGCGGATCGGGGCGCGGTGCAGGGCGGCGCTGGAGCAGCTGTGCAGGAGTCGGACGGTGGAGGCGGCGGCTGCGGCGGTGTCCACCATCGCAATATGCACGCAGTACAGCGTGGGGTGCTGCCAGATGGTGGTGGAGGGTGGCGGGGTGGGGGCGCTGGTGCAGTTCATCGCCAGGTGAGGTGGGATGTGGGACGTGCAGAATAATGTCAGCCCCTCTGCCTTTCCCGTGTGGATCCGTTCTCCTTCCGCTGACAAGGCCAGCGCCCGTCGGGTGGTGAGTGGTTTAGGATGTCCGGAAACAAGATGGGAACCACACGGAAAGACGGAGCGACTAATCCCATGCTTGGGGCGTGTGACAGTGACAGTGACTATGACTTTATCCGTCACACTTTTAGGCATCCGATAGCCTAATCGCTGTGGTCGTTCTGCTGCAAGCGCAGTCGTTTCCCTGATGTTGTGTAATGTCTTCGTGAAAGTTGTTAGTTCCAGTGTGCTGGCGGGCAATAGTCAAGCCATGGGACATCCTGGTTTAGCAGACAATTGGACAAGGGTAGCATGAAGCACACTTTTGCTGCCAGTGGAGAGCATGGTTGTTTAATGTAGCGCAATCTGGGTAGGGCATGCACTCTTGACTGTGATCGCCGTGTGCAGGCTTTTCTGTCTGATAAACAAAACAAAGGGGTCAACATGGCCATGGTTTGCGTGAGGAAAGCGTTGGGATACCAAGTTATGAACATTAGCTGTGTTTGACACAGCTGCCATTCATCGAATGAATGGATGCTTTACCACAACGGGGTGGCAAAGCGTGTTCATCACGTCAAGTGCTGGTGCCTGACAATAAAATCATCCAGAACTGTATATTCATCGTTAAACAGTCAACTGATGTCGAGTCCTAGTGTCCCAGCAAATGTCTCACAGCACATGCTGCATGACATTGGATCGGCAAGTACGAGGAGAACTTGATGCATCACAGGTGCCACAAGAACAAGCACCACATGACCGCGCTGCAACACAGCCTGGACTCCCTGTCCAACATTTGCTCAAGGGCGTCTCTGGTGGCCAACGTCTTCACCAAGGACGCCCTGGCTACCCTTACCGACCGCCTCCAAACCTTCAGGGAGCACCAGGATGTCTTCCTGTCAATAGTCTCCTTGCTTCGCTTGTTGTGCTACGACAGGGGGCGGGCCGCCATGGTGATGGGTGAGATGCGCCAGCTGGTGAAGCAGTGGGAGGCTGTTGCTGGGGTGCTGGCCAGAACCATCGCAACAGAGAGGAAGGCCATGGGGCGAGTGGAAGGTAATGCGCAGCCTTGTGGTTGCCCAGAATCTGGGGATTGTTGCAGTTTCGATCTGAGTGGTTGCAAAGTTTGTCACAAGCAAGTCAGTTAGCATTCCCTGGTATGCTACGCCCAAGTCTCACCAACTGATCGGGTGGCTTGGAACGCCAACATGACCTGCATGAGAGTCCTTTTCAATGCAAGCTCACCAACCTGATGCCCCAATGACCTCAGCAGGTTGAACCTAGCTTTGATTAATGTCTACTCTCACCACCCTGATGCTGCCACAACAAATTGCATTCCACCAATGTTTCTAGTTGGGGTCGCTGTTGCAAAAATGCACAGTGGTTCCATTCAAAAAGTACGTGAAGCAGTTCTGGCAACTGAGGAAGGGGCCAGTGCCCCTGGTAGTGATAACATTGTGATTTTCACCATTCTCTCAACATGTTATCAATACAAAGGATTCCGAATGTTGCAAGGAATCGTTGAACAAAAGTTGGAAGGTATCTGGGTTGCCTGAACATGTAAACACTGCATCGTTCCCCCTAAATTCTAAGGGAGACTGTGTCATTTTCCCAACCCTGAAACTGGCAGGGCTGATTCTGCGGTGCATCAGCAGTGTGCCATTATTCAGGCCAAGGAAGGCATTGTTTACTGCAATGTCCACCCATTTTATTTGTCAACGCTGACTCTGGCCTCAGAATGTGCAGATAGGTGTCTTCATATTTTCTCAACTTCTTGAAATAAAAGTGTTCACCAACTGCAATTTATTCAACATTAGGCAATGAATTGTCCCCATTGAGAATTGAGCCAGTCAATGTTGGTTTCCTTTCCATTGTGAATTCTCTGATTCAGGTCCACACATTGTCCACAATAGTGCATTCACAATTGAACGATGCTCACTGCATCTGGCAGTGAAGGTAGATCAGGTACCAAATCAATGTAACTGCTGGTAACCATGAAATCTATCTGTATTGCCACAATTGCGGTTTGATGCACACTGCTTATGTGAGCATGAACAACTGACTTCAGAAACTGCAGTTTGCAATGGATCAAGTTGATGAAAACACATGTAAATCCCATCACATATCGTCTTGCTGGGCCTAATCACTTTTTCATTGGTGACACAGATGACAAGTACTCTGACAACACAGTGAAGGGCCTAACACACCGTATGTTTGCCATGACGGCGCAATTGCGGGCTTTGAACGATCTCTTAGAAATGGTCCCAGACACAACAAACACTGCAGTCGAGCCCACCAGGCCGCCCCTCCTCACGCCCCGCAAAAACCTTCCAGCGCCCAACAAAATTCTGCACAAGGTTGAGAAGTGGTGCCCCAAGAACACGATGGCACGGATCGCACTTTCAGAGCTGCAAGTCACTGCTGCGGCACGGAGGGAAAATGCCAGTTCTCCCACCCCAAAGCGATTGAAGAGGTATCATCCTCCGGCTCGTTGATTTTCTTCAAGGCAGTGATTGTAGTTAGGTCAGAATCTTTATGGTTGCAGCAGCCATTTGTGCATTTTCAGCAGGTGCAGGAAATCGGGAAGTGGTTGAGTGTAGGTATTGATTGGATTAGACAGCTCGTGGGGTTGGACTGCAGCATACACATGGTACTGGCACAGTTGTTGTGTAGTCATTTGCAAAGTGAATTGCAAAGGCACGGCGCGATTATGTGGGAATGCTAAGACAACGACATTTACCAACTGATTCATGGACAAAACTGTGTGGGCTCGTTTGCATTCTTGATGATAATAACAGCGTCTGTTGGCACGTTGTTGTGCGCTCAAAGCGCCCTTTTGCAAAAAGCGAATTCCAGACCCAGCTTTGCATAAGATCGACCAAGGCAGTCTCTTCGAATTCCAGACAAGTGTGGCTTTTTGGGACGATGAGCACTTTGGCCCTGCACTCTGAATGACGGGTTGGGCCCTGTCTGCCATTTCATTGTTCACAATGTTTGCTCGACATCTCCTGATGAACAGGGTCCTGCATGGCAGTCTTGTGCGAAGTTGCTCGAATTTCTTCCTCATTCCATCGAAGATGGTGAGCAAGTCACTGAATACAAGCTTGCAGTCTGCACAAGAGAAACACTGCTTTGATTTTGCTACATTGACATGCACTGAAAGCAAAACAGTGTGTTTCCAAAGTAGAACAGCAATTAGAAGGTGGTTCCCATAGAGACTTGCATAATCCTGCACCAATGCAAGGTGGACACGAAGCGCTTGCATGGAACATCGTCGGCTCCAAATTTGTGGACGATCCAGTTGGGAGGGGGCGAATGGGGTGGGGCGTTCTGGGGCAAGGGAGATCGTAACAGGCCTGGCGAAAAACAGTTATGAAGGGCTTGCCTAATGTGTCTGAACGCTGGTGCTGACATTCCTTGGCATTGGAAATTGCATTGTCACCAGTCTGGGAGAGTGTGGGTGGGCAATACATCCTTGGTGGGCAACAGCTTGTGCACACACTCACACACGACGATCAGAACACGCAGTCACTTCTCCTAACCCTTTTTAGGGAGAATGGTACTGTAATATAGACATTCTGTCACACCCATTTGTTGTGCACATGCACAACAACATACTTTGACTAACCGCCTCCTACTTGTTTGTCCCACCTATTACTATAACTTCATTTCCTATGTTTTCCTTTGCCCAATCATGCATTACCTTGTCAATTCCCCTTGCAACTTATGCTGCAGTATTCGCTGCTATTCCCTGCTGCTATTCCTTGGCGTTTCTACACATCTGCATAACACTTTCCCAACACATTCAGTTCCAATTGTGCACTCTTGCGATGCCAGGACAGTCTTCATCAAATTATTCCTGAGAATGGCTGCTGCTTGAAAAGTGCATGGGCATCCTTTTCGCGCAGTGATGCTGATGGTGTGTACTGACCACTGCCTGAGCTCAGACGGCAGACACATTTCGACGATCGACCTGTTTCTTGAGGGCAAACAATTGACTTTGCAGCTCGCACATCCTTGGCCTCTTTGAGGGCTCAGGCGACAAGCATTTCTTGATTATTGATGTCAACCCTTGAGGGCAATCATCGGGAAGCCTGCTAAGCAGTTTTTCAGGACGAATGCACAGCTGACCAGAAGTCATTTGCTGCGGGGGCAGCTGCACAGCGAGCTCCCATACAACCACACCGAAACTGTAGACGTCGCTCTGGACAGTGCAAGGCTTTCCCCTGTGCAGCTCTGGGGCATCGTACAGGGTCCTCCTTGGCTGACGAAACTCAATCTTCTGGGCATCTTCCCGACAACTCATCGGTTCCAAGCAACAGAGTATGACGTGCGGCGCTCTGCTCTCAATGTCATCGACCACAAAGTTCTTCGTCTTCAAGCCAGAGTGGACGAGCGGAATGGGATCGTCGTGCAGCTTGCCCAAGGCGGTTGAGGCCTGCCACAGGACATGAAGCCTCGATTGCCACGACAAACTGCTGTCCAGAGCCTTGTACCACTTGACCAAATCTGCCTCTCCCCCTTTCATCACTATTGAGCCTGACGTGGTGATGGCGAGCACACCAGCGATCTGGGCATGCTCTTTGCAGTTGTGAAGAGCAAGAAACGAGCAAGCCTTACCAAATCTCTCCAAACCTTCAAGTCTGGTGGAGGCAGGCGCTTGCCTTTTGACCAGTACGTTTTTTCCTTCCCACTGTGCTTCATACACCCCATCGTCGTCACCATCGCCCAAAAAATCCTCATCCTGCATGGGAATTTCTTCATCGCTGATGGGCTGCATTTTGTCCAACAGGTCAGCCATGCTGTCCTTTACCTGCTTCCACTCCTTGCATGTGTCTTCCGTCATAGGGTCTGCATCCTCCAGTATGTATTTCAAGATCATTACGAACGTTTTTTTATCCTCCGCAACATCTTCTTTGGGGATTTTGCACTCGATATCTGTACAGGTTTCGCAGTCCAGCTTGCAAACAGAGGTGCGGAAGTCCTGACAATATCTCTCAACAAGGCACTTGACCTCTCTGATGGGATACCAGAAGTGACATGCGAACACGTTTGCATGATGTCTGATCAGCTTCACACCCAATCGTAAAGTCTCTGTGAGAGATTCAAATGCCTCTGGAGCCCTTTCTTCCATTTTCTGAACTGAAACGTCCTCCAACTTTTGGACCTTGTCCATCTGCTGATATAGAAACATCAGCATTTTCTTGTTGTACAGCACACGTTCATTCTTTATCACCTCCTCAACTTCTGCAATTATCAAATTGAGCTTGGCCACAGAGGAACCCTGTTCCACCACAACATAGCAGAATACATGGGTGATTAAAGACATCAAATTGATGAATATGCTACTGTGGGGCCAAAATCCGCTATTCGAACCTCAGACTAATTGTGACCTGCCATGAGCAACAGCTATTTCACATCACATTGTTTCATGGCACATCAAGTCCACCGTACCCAATTGCTTTCCAATCATCAGTCAGTTTATTCTCTAAACCAATATTTGCACAACATCTCACCCTCTAAGTGATAAAACAGGAGCATGTCCCACCCCTTACTGAGAACAAAAAGAAGGAAAAACAGGGTCCTAGACACAATACGTTGCAATGTGGACATATCGTGGGGATTGGATGGAACACTGCAAGATAGAAAGACAACAGCACCCACCGCAGCGACCCAAGCCTTCGGCATCTCTGAAAGTTGCGTACAAACCTCTTCCACAGCTGGTCTCCCCTCAAGATCCTCACTACAGCACATCTTCATCAAGTGGTGCATCTCCTCTGGACAGTCCCGCGCGAAAATGGCGCAAGGTTCAACTGGCTTTCCGCCCTGCCTGCCCTGAGTTTTCATCATCGTGAGAAAATATCTATTCCGTTCTCTACCCTCAACAGAGTAAGCTTCCTTGCCTGTTATGACCTCATACATAACGACGCCCAAGGCAAAGATGTCCGATGCCGCAGTGGACACTGCACCATCGTAAACTTCAGGAGCCATACACACATCAGTCCCCTGTCCCACCCTCACTGTCAAGCTTCTTGTAAAGGTGTCATCACTTGCAACCCCAAAATCTGCCAGCTTGACAACATAGTCATCTTCAAGAGACCCAAACACCAGAAAATTGCTGCCTTTCACATCACTGTGAACAATTCCCTTGCTGTGAAAGTACTTCAATGCAAAGGCACCTTTCTGAAGAAGGAGAAGTTTTTTTGACCAAGCCAAGTCCTGCTCCTCCTGGCAAAGTGTGCGCAAGTCTCTGTCTGCCATTTCCATTACAATCCAGCCTGACTTCGTAATCGCAAACAGCCGGGGAGTGTACTTGGCATCGAGCTCAGAATGTAAATATCCCTCTTTGAGAAGTGCAGCCAACTTGTCAATGGGCAGGTCCTGTCCAGATGATGTTGGCTTTTTGACAGCAACCAATTCATCTTTATACCTGCCCTCATGCACGCATGCCTGTCCACCTTGTCCCAACACATTTCCAACCTCAACTGCCTCATCAGGAACTAGCCAATCCGAACTCCATTTCACATGCTTACCTCTGGCATCTTCCCATTTGTGCAGAAGCCCGTTGCTTGCATTGTTGCATTGCTTGCCCTCTAGAACATATGAGAGCATGCTATTCAGATGCTGTGTGTCTTTGATGAATATGGGTTCTGGTATTGCCACCTGAATGATGTCCTGAGGATCTCTGTTTTCTGTAAATCTGAATGGAATCTTCTCTTTCAATTCTCGGCATATTCCTTGGGCCGCCTGTCTCGCATCAGCAACTGTGTAGAACTTCTTCAGACTGAAGGGTAGTTCATGTTTTTGAATAAACCGCAGTGCTTTCCGCAGAGTAGTCTTCAAGTTTTCAGCACTCTCATCGTGCAGCCCGTCAAGCATGCGCTCGACTTTAATCATTTGCTTCTGGAGAAACGTCACAATTCCGGCATTGTATGAGGGCCTCTCCTACACAGAAGAATACAGGTTGGTCAGCACCAGCCTTCATTCTTCAGTGTCAATGAGCCACTGTGCAGTTTTCTTCCCTGTTTCAATTGTCTCATACCTGAACGGGGTCAGCCCAGATCTCCCACTGACATGTGGCACTTGTCACAAGATCTGTTGCTTAGAGGCACAGGGAAGAAGGGAATAATCTGAACACAGCATTGTGGGGGCAGTGTTAGTGCACTTCATGTGCAGAATGTATAGGTGGGTCCTCTTAATATGGGTCTGTGCTGTACCGCAACAATACTTGTAACAGGGAAATGTACACTAGTGACAAGATGATTGTACAGGAAAAATATGGCTTGATGAAATGGGGAATTGCTACAGGTGCTGGAGGCACCAGTCTGGGCCCAGCTACCCAAAGCAGAGCTGGAACTCATTGACACCAGGTCAAGAGCCCTACGCAAGTGTGGAATTTTGTCAAAAATCTGAGAACACTGTGAAATTCAACACCATGAAAATGTATCTTGTGCTCCCATCATTTTACATCAGCCGCAATCCAGATCCACAACATAGATTTTGAAGGTGAGCATGGAAAACAGACAATACCTCGCCAATAGCACCGTGCTTCTTCAGAAGAGGCAACACAGCTGCACTTTCACCTCGTGCTGCGTGATAGAGAGGAGTGTGACCATCCTACACATCCAGCACACCTTATTTTGCAACTCCAATCCAAAGCCCGTGAAAAGGAAACTTTCCGAAGTGGGAAACAACTTGATGAGCATTGTACACATACAACAGCCACATCCAGTGCACAGTGCAGCCTAATAAGCAAGTAAAGTGCTGTACTTGCCTTTGAAGCAGACCTCTTGGGCCATGGAACAGATTTCACTTTTGTAGAATGCACAGTTCATCTCTTGCAGTGGTGATCAATCATACAATCATACATACAGTTGGAGATGATCCTAATTGAAAGAATCAGCAAAAACCAGGTGTGGAGTGTCTGACATTGCGACACTTGCAGAATTGCCCCGTTTGGCTATTGGCCACCCAAGGCAGACAGATTTCATTTATTGTAGACGGAGAATGCAGTTCAGCACTGTGTGACAGCTGACTTGCAACCACAATTGAAAACATACAGCAACAAGAGTTTTAGGCGCCTGCAGAACAGCATTGCTGGAGCAAGGTAGTCCAGCCAAAGGAGTATCTATTTGAAATGGAATTTGTTCACAGCAAACCAAAACACAATTTATCAGATCAGTGTCCGTTTCAGGAGTGACATTTTATGATTGTTCAAGATGCCATCCGTTGCACAGGCCATTCTGCGACATGTGGGGCAACACATAACAATTGAATGACAGATTCACTGACGTCCAAATTTTTTTTTGTTTGTGAAAGACAGGCTACAACTTGCAGACGAACTCGCCACAGACTTACACAGGTGCCATATTTCAGCAGGCTCCTTGCACATGTTGTGGAGAGTGTCCAACTGCAACAGTGATGCACATGAACTGTTCTCACCTTGTCACCCTGATATACTGAAGCTCCGTTGGCCAGCAACAGCTCAGCAGTGGCAGTGTGGCCATGCTGTGCGGTGGCAATGAGGGCAGTTGATCCGTCCTGTGGATTAAACTATGCTGTTAGATTGCAGTGCCTGACCTTAACACCAAGTGCTCAATTATGTCAGCCGAATATAACAAGTGGTTGCTCATTGGAATCAGATGACTGAATGTCATGTCAACAAACAAGACAGGTGTCAAATATGAAGCTGGCAAGAGCATAATCCACCCTGCATCAGATTGCAAGTCAACAGTTTTGAAGAGCAGTGAATAGCCTCCTCAGACATAATATTTCGTCCTCATCTCGTGGCTCCTCTCTCTGCAATTGGCCGTTTCAAGTGGACAGCAGTGCACAGACCACCAAGTAACTTGTCTGTACCAACTATCAGGACACACATCTGCCATCGACACCACACAGTATTGACTGCCAGGAAGATTCTTCCTCTTACATTGTTAGCAAAGTCCACTGAAGCTCTTGCCCGCAACAGCAACTCAGCAGTGGAGGTGTGGTTCTGCTGTGCAGCGACGATGAGGGCAGTTGATCCATCCTGTACGTTACATCACAAGACAAGACAGGATTACAATGCTACGGCAAAGTTCCAAATGGTAGATCGTCAGTGGAAGGCCAGGTGCTGCACTTGGCAACTGCATTGTCTATCCTGACACAGATTCAGCTGCAACATCTCAACCGTGCTCAAGAGTGGCACTGTGAGAATAAAATTGTCAACATCACCTGGCTTCTACTACCACAATTACCCACACAGACAGCAGTGTGTGATACATGACCTCAAGGCATTGCACAAAAACTGTGCAGATGCATTCTCCTGCTTGCCTGCTATCACAACTGCAAAATGTTCTCGGCTGATAACATCCCTTCTCTTACTTCATCAGCATGATCCACTGAAGCTCCATTGTCCAACAACAGCTGAGCAGTGGCAGCGTGGCCATGCTGGGCAGTGACCATAAGGGCAGTTGAGCCAACCTACAGATTGAATCACAAAGTCAGGTTACAGTGCCAGGTCTCAATACACCCTATCAGACTTTGTCAACAGACCCTGACAAGTGTTCAAATGAAGCTGGCAACAGCAATGTCAACCCTGCCTCAGATTGGAAGTCAACAATCAATATTGTACAGAGAATTGCCCAGACACAACATTTTGTCCCCATTCCCAGCTCCTCTGCATGCAATTGGTCATTTTCAGGTGAACAGCAGTGCATAGCACACAAATTGAAAACTGTCGGTACTGTCTTTCAGGGAACACAATGCCCCCCTGCCATCCATAACTAATTGCATGGACAGTCACACATACCCCATCTCTTACTTTGTTGGCAAAGTTGACCGAAGCCCCTTTCTGCAACAGCAATTCCACGATGGAGGTGTGGTTATGCTGGGCAGCAACGATGAGGGCAGTTGATCCAGCCTGCAAGTTACATATGGCAAGATTACAGTGTTATGCCCAAGTTGCAAGTAGTAGATCGTCAATGGAAGGCCAGGAGCTGCACTTGGCAACTGCATTGTCTGCTCTGACTGAGATTCCACTGAACCACCTCAACTGTGTGTAAGTGTGGTACTCCAAGAAACTATTCATCAACATCACCTGGCATCTACTGGCACAACTGACCATTTTCAAACAGACAGCAGTGTGTGACACATGACCTTAAGATTCTGCACGTAAACTGTGCAGGCGCATTCTGCTGCCAGTGTGCTATCCCTACAGCAAAAGGTTGTCGGCTGAAAACGCCCCTTCTCTTACTTCATCAGCATGATCCACTGAAGCTCCAAAATCCAACAACAACTCAGCAGTTGCAGTGTGGCCATGCTGTGCAGTGACGATAAGGGCAGTTGAGCCAACCTACAGAATTGATCACACAGCCAGGTCATCTCAATGCCAGGTCTCAACACCAAGTGCCAGATTTCGTCAACAGAACCAAACAGCTGCAGAACATGAAGCTGCCAGCATTGTCCAGCCCGCCTGAGATTGGAAGTCAAAAATAAAAGTTGTAAAGAAAAATTGCTCAGACACAACATTCTGTCCGCATATCCTGGATCCTCTGCATGCAACTGGTCATTTTCAGATGCACAGCAGTGCATAGCACACAAATTCAAATCTGCTGGTACTCTCTTTCCGGGCACACAGTGCTGACCATGCCACTCCCAACACATAGCATGGACAGTCAAACATGCCCTATCTCTTACTTTGTTAGCAAAGTTCGCGGAAGCTCCTGTCCGCAATAGCAATTCAACGATGGAGGTGTGGTTATGGTGTGCAGCGGCGATGAGGGCAGTTGATCCATCCTGCAAATTATATCACAGAGGAAGATAACAATGTTATGCCGAAATTCCCAAGTGGTAGATCATCAATGGAAGACCAGGCGCTGCACTTGGTAACTGCATTGTCCACCCTGACTCAGATTCATCTGTAACATCTCAACCATGCTTAAGAGTGGCACTGCGAGAAACCACTTGTCAACATTACCTGGCTTCTACTACCACAACTACCCAAATTGAAACGCACAGCAGTGCATGATATGTGACCTCAAGATTTTGCAGATGCATTCTGCTACCTTTCTGCTATCACTACTGCAGAAAGGCGTCGGCTGAAAACATCCCTTCTCTTACTTCATCAGCATCATCCATTGACGCCCCGTTGTCCAGCAACAGCTGAGCAGTGGCAGTGTGGCCATTTTGTGCAGTGATGATAAGGGCAGTTGAGCCAACCTACAGATTGAATCACAAAGTGAGGCCACAGTGCAAGGTCTCGATACAGCCTGTCAGACTTTGTCAACAGACCCTGACAAGTGTTCAAATGAGCTGGCAACAGCAATGTCCACCCCGCCTGACATTGCCCTCACATTGCCTATTGAAAAGTTGCTCACACATAACATTTTGTCAGCATCTCTTGGTATGTCTGCTTGAAACTGGCGATCTTCAAGTGGACAGCAGTGCACCGCACACAAACTCAAACCTGTCTCCACCATGTTTCAGGATACCATCTGCCGCCCGCCTGCCATCCACAACACAAGAAAAGGACTGCCAGACATTATCTCTCTCACTGTGTTAGCAAAATCCACCGAAGCTCCTTTGCGCAGCAGCAATTCAGCTGTGGAGGTGTGGTTATGCTGTGAAGCAGCGATGAGGGCAGTTGATCCGTCCTACACATTGTGGCACAGGACAAGATTTAAGCACAATGTCACAGTCCCAAGTGGCAGCCCGACAATGGCAGGCCCAGTGTTGGACTTGGCAGCTGCAATGTCCTCCCCACCTGAGATTCAACTGCAACATTTCAACTGGGTTGGAGACTTGCACAGCAAAAAGCAAGTCGGCTACATCACCTGGCTTCTCCTGCCATTAGCCATTTGAAATGTAGCATCATATTCAACCCTTCTGTATTTTGAAGGTTGAAAACTACGATTTTGCCACAGTCACTACTCTTTGCTCACCGTGTCATGTCCAGCAGCCACAGATTGGTAGAACAAGTTGATGGGCAAGTCTCAATCGGGTCTGATGGTTTCAATGCTTGCCTATATCAAATTTCGCCTTGTAAACCGCCTTGTTGCATGTGTCAAAGGTGCAGGCAGGTTCTTCACAAAGTGAAATAGCCTTGGGGGTGGCTGTGATTGTGGGCCACAACGATGCTGACAAGTGCCCACGATTGCTTCACATGGTGTGCAACATTTCAGTGGTTTAAGCCACCTGGTCGCAGCAGAAATGGCTTCCCAGTCCAGTTTTCATCACAGCAAATACCACCTTTCCAAAATGGCAGCTCATGCTGCCTGGCCGGCCAGATGCAGCATACAGTCCAGAGAACCTAGTGGTGCAACAAGGGTCGCTGCGACCACAGGAGCTGTGGTATTCACTGCAAACTTCACAGATGCCATTTTGCGTGCTGAACAGCTTGGTAGAAGTTTGCACGGTGGTGTAAGCCAGCTTCGCTTGCAGCCAGTCACGGCGTTCCAGTTTGGGCAGTCCTGCATTGTTCGGAAACCTGTTGCACTGTTACTTTCTCTCCTCAGGGGAAGGGCCAGGATAACATTAGTACACGGAACGGTTAGATACAAATGCACAGTAGACAACAACGTGACACATGTGACCTCCAAATCGTGCATGTGACCTGTGAGGATGCAATCTGCTGCCTGTCTGGTACTGCCAAACGGATTGTTTGCTAAGAATATATCTTCTCTTACTTTGTCAGCATGGGCCAGCGAAGCTCCATTGTTCAGCAGCAACTCAGCGATGGCAGTGTGTCCATTCTTTGAAGCCACAATGAGTGCAGTTGAACCATCCTGGACATAAAGTAAGAATGGTGAATCGCATATAAACGTCATGGGTGCTGAGTACCAAGTTATCAACAGTGCCATTTCCTCACCAGGTGTAAATTCTCCTGATTGCATTTCAGTACTCAACTGGCTGTACAAGGTGATCTGCACCTTTGGTATTCCTCCATGGGCTCTCGTTTAGGTCCGTCAGCATCTTGGCTACCTGCTTTTGGGTGCCAAAAGGCGACTGCAGCCATCCGAAGCGGGACAGCACAACACTAGGCCGGAAGCAAAATTCTTCATACAGAGTATGCACCATGCAATGTGACCAGCAGTCACTGACTCTGCAGAGCAGAGATGCACTGACTTCACAACCAAAATTAAATAATCTTCTGACGCTGCATTCACATTTGTAAACTGCAATACCCTACCCAAAGGCGCTGACCACAAAAAACAGAAGAAATGCCGATATCTGCAAACAGAGAGGGGTAAGGGGGGTGGGAGGATTTATCCGTGGCCCACAATGCCACTTGCACATTATTGATGCAATCCACTGATGCTCTGCCCTGCAGCAACAGCACCTTAGCAGTGGCTGTGTGCCCATAGTGAGAAGTGACGATGAGGGCCGTTGATCCATCCTACGGACTAAGTCACACTCTAAGTCCACAGTGCAAGATCCAATGCCTGCCATAGTGCTATTGGGTGGTGGTTTCTTAATGAAACTACCATAGAAATAGATCTTTCGTGTCCTGTCACTATCACAAACTTGCCAGACCCAGCATTTCCACCAATGAACCATGCCCCAGCAACAGAGCTGCTGTGCGTGAGTTTCTGTGTCTGCTGTCAGCACAAGGGGCATCTTGCCAGGCGGAACAGCACAGAAATGCTCACTAGGTTAGGTATCCAAGCCACAGTAGGTGAGAAGAACTGGAATACCAACTTATTAACCAGCATGCAGGCTGACACGTGCTACCATCTATTCTGTGATATTGGGATGCACTTCTGTCACAGCAAACCATACTGGTGGGGCTTGCATGTTTTTTCTCCCCACATTCTGTCATGATGCAGCACATGTACCAAACCAGTCTTTGTAAGCTCTGCTGATTACATTGTCAGAAACGCATTGCAAGCAACACTCTCCCTCCTGAACAGTATTGTTGGTCACTGCAGCATGCAACTCCTGTGAAGAAACTGCCCACAAATTCGGGGCCACTGCTTTTTTGTGCTATATGAACCCATTTGTTCAATCAAATTTCCAAACTGCCAGGTTTGGGGCTGTGGCCCACTCCAATACACACGGCATTGGGGGTGGGGTGCACAAATTTTGAGTAACGTGAGGGATGTCCAAGAACTTGTTCACAGCAGTGGCGATCAGATAACGATTTTCTCAAAGGAGATCATGCCATCCCTGGCAGTAAATGATGCTTATTTGTATAGGGTAGGTGAGCAGGAGCCAAGGCCACATCACACTGGCTATGCCCTAAGGGCGCAGACCATTTCAGCCAATGCGCCAGCAAATTCCGTTGGCTTCTTCACTGTGGGCCAGATACTTTTAGCTCTATTTGGTGGTTGGCTAGAGATTTGAAAACATAAGACGAAAGGCTCACCCAGTCCACAGTAATACTGCCAATTGGGAGTATCTTCGTTTCAATAAATCAAGGTCTTGTGACATGCAGCTGCCCATTCAATGCATTTTCACAGGGGATGCATAAGGACATCTTACCAGGTTCATTTTGTTCACACAAGCACCACAGTCCAATAGTACCATGGTGGTTGCCTCATTGTCATGTTCTGCTGCCAGCATAAGGGGCGTTGCACCATTGTGCACAACTGCCACACAGGAACACTTGCTATAGTAAAAAGTGATTGGCATCTGTATTGCTGGACCTGCACTTGGGTGGATGGGCAGAATCGAAACGACAGCACACAAATGCAGCCGGAACCCGCACATGCTATCAAAAATCTACCTGGCACTTGCAGGCAATTTCACCAAAACGTTGCGTTGCCACTTTGTCACCACACATTGCCACTCTGTATTTGTGTTGAAGACTGTAGTTGGCCAAGCTGTAGGGACATTTTTATGTGGTAGGTGTGGCACCACACTGCCAGATGAACTCCATATAAGGGCACTCTCAGTTTTGACTATTTCCATAATAGGCTGCAAATCACCATTCACGGTGGCCATTGTTAGATAGAAAATGGTGCCATTACCCTTATCCATGGAAAACACAGCGAGGCCCACGAGCTGCACGTCTCCTGTTCTCCACCCAGGAATGCATAAGAATCAGCATCGTTGGCAAGAAATCCGCCTACTAAAATTTCAGTATCCCTTTTGCTCACCTCGTCAACCTGATCTACTGATGCTCCTCCCCTTAACACCAGTGCAGCTGTGCCTGTTTGTCCATTCTGCGCTGCCGCCCTTAGGGCAGTAAAACCACGCTGCGGATAAGCCACAGAGGTAGTCCGGTGAGTTGCGAGTGCAAAGGCAGGGCCGACCCCAAACTTTGCTCTTGAAGGAAACTGCCAATCCAATCCCAGCACCACAGACTTGCACTAACTATATGATGCCATCTGCACTGCTTGGCTTCTGTCATCCATACCTAGAAGAACCATGGGCAAGTGCGCTGTAACATATGGTAACCAGACTGGCAGTTTTGTACCATCTGTGAATACAGCTTGCTGCCAGTTACAGTCCATCTACTACATTGCCGTCAAAAGCTGTAAAGCCAGCACATCTACCTGATCAATCTGGTCTATTGGTTCTCCTCTGCTCAATAGCAATTCGACAGTGGACATGTCTCCCTTCTGTGCAGCAAAGGTGAGAGCTGTGGATTCGACCTAGACATGAAATCGCAATATTAGTGTTGAGCGCAAAGTAGCATGTTGGTGTTGCCAGTGTCCACACACAGAATCAATTTACTCTGGTCGACTGCAAAATCCAAACAGTCCAACTGTTGTCCCTCCCTAATCATAACAACAATCACTGCAGTGTGCAGCAAATTTTTGCCAGGGGAGGGGTCATGCTTCGCACAAAATATGATTATTGCAAAAGTCTATGGGAAGGGAAATTTGCGGAACGATGCCTTTGTGAAGAAACACAGAACACAAGTTGAGCCAGCTTTATGTAAAAGCAATATTTTAGGCCTCACACACACAACAGGATGCACAGATTGAGAAGTATGAAGAAGACTCTGTATGGAAGTCCTGTAGAAATAGAGTTCCACCCCTTTCGGCAAAACTTCCTCCAGCTTCAGAAAATCCAGCTCTACTCCATTGCTACCCCCTCACTCATGCTGTGATCTGTAAGGTCCCTTCCTACAACCTCAGTTCCATCAATGGGCATGCTCAACCAAAGCCGTGGAAACTCTGGCTTGTGCTGCTGCAGGGTTCGCAACATTAGGAATCAACTCTCAAAACCCTGTCATTCAAAATTTGCAGCCATTCCATCAGTTTGCTGCTACTTTCTTGTTCAATTCCAGCCAGTGTAGGAGGATAAACGGCAGCGAGGCTGCAGGACATCTAGCAATATTGTGTTCATCAACTCTTGTGCGCCGATCTGGAGCCCTGTACTCTTAATTTCTGCCTCGATACCCCTTGTGCCCAGGAAGGTTTCAAACTTTATCACTGGGGCACAAGAATGCCTGCATTTTCCTGCCAGTCATGAATATACAGATGTCCTCCACAGCATCCAGCTGCTACTGATAACAGACCTCAAAATGTAGAGGTAGATGGCTGTGCATGTGAGATGATGATCACTGGGACAAGCAATGGAAGACACCAGCTCGTTTCAGGTTGTGACACACACAGAAAGGGAATCACAGCACTGTGATCTGAGTATGCAATACAGATGATGCAGTGTCCACACAGTGGAAATTTTGTATGTTGCAGCATTTGTCACATTGCCCAGAATCCAAACAGCATGCGTCCCATCACAAATCATATGCAAAGACAATTTGGCAGATGTCTTTATTACTCCAAAAACTACTTCTGGAGATAGAGTGTCACTTTCTCCACCTGCAGCAGAACATCTTCCAGTTCCGTGCAGACTTCATCCATTGTTGGTCTGTGAAAGGAAGCCGGTGAAATGCAGCGCATCATCAGCACTACCAGTGCTTCAGGGCATGTATGTGGAATGAGAACTGGAGCCCTGCCATCTCTTTTCCTATTTACCACCATGGGATTGGTAAGACCTCTGTAGGGCAGGGCCAAACTTGCAAGCTCAAAAAGAACCAGTCCAAAGGAAAAAACATCGGAACTGAACGACCGTGGGGCTCCATCGTAGAGCTCTGGAGCCAGCCACCCGAATGTGCCACACATCGGAAAGGCAGTCTTCGATTTTGTCTCGGTCTCAGTGGCAGTCAACCCAAAATCGGATATTTTTATGACCACGTCCCCCCCAGCTGGTGGAGGAAACACAAGAAAATTGGCAGTCTTGATGTCACCATGAACCATCCTTGATTTGTGCAGATGCTGCACACCAGAGCCGGCACTCAACATCAGGCGCAGCTTCATTGGCCAGTCGAATTCGCTCCCGCGCGACCAGTAGAACCTCTCCAAGTCTGTTGAAGCCAGCTCCATAACTATGTCATGTCTTGAGGCTGTTGCACCAAAGCAGCGAGCCACATTTGGGTGACTGAGCTGGATGTGAAGCTCGACCTCGCTCAAGAGCTCAGCTCTGGATTCTGGTGTCAGGTCTTTCCCCAGCATCTTGACGGCAACAGCGATGTCCCTCCACATCCCTTTGTATACCATACCTTGCCCGCCTGCAGCAATCGACTCCTCTATTTTAATTTCCTCTTCTGGAATCATGATGACAACCTCCATCCTGTGCCTCTGCTTAAGCACCTGTTCCTCCAATTCCTCCCTAAGTACTTCTGGCATTTCCCTGTCTATTTCTCTGCCTTCCAGGATGCAGTTCAGATACCAGTACTTGTAGCGTTTATCTTCATCCACAGCATTAGCATCCATTTCTGTCTGAATGTTAAATGTGCCCTTTTCCAAGCCCAGATCAAGGAGGCATTCTCTGAACACTACACACATTTGTTCCACCTGGAGAAGGACTATATCCACCTTGCTAAAGCCACGAAGATCGAATTGCCTTCCATGTCTCCTGATCAGGGATGACCCTCTCTCCATTTCAACTTCCAACATGACCACAATTTCCTGAGGAGCATCTCTTGGCAACCAAGGCACCAGGCATTCCACCATCTCCATTTGATGGCACAAGAACCGGAGCATGTTGCAGTGATAGCGTGCCTCTGGTAGCCCATCCTTGGCCTTCTTCACTGCTGCTGTAATTGCCACCGAGGGCTTGTCCATCCGCAGCCCGTCCACCCTCAATGTCAGGTTGTGCAGTTTCAATGACTCAATATCATCCCCGCATGAACTGAGATTCAGCACACCACAATTGTATTGCACATGTTGCAAATTTGGCTACAACCATTTCACTTGGACAGTAGGGTGTTTTGAAATTCAAAGCCTACAACTCGCCCTCTTGTTCCATTGGTGACCATGCATATTGGCCAGAGGCATTACTTTCCCTCCATTTTGTATCATGCTAGGCCATCTTATTACCATGCATGTTTTTAGAACACGACTGTGGCACATTCTCCCTCAATTTACAGAGCTCACTAAGCATACATTGGCAATCGATGGGTCTTGAAACTATTAATAATGTGCATTCTTGTAATGGGTCTTAGTCATCCTACAATGTCACTCACAAATACGCTAATGAGCTTCCCTCCTTCGCCAACTTGTCCCCCTTGCACTCGCACACAAAATCCCAGCCACCGAAAGCTTGGACTTATTTGCCTCCAAAACCCAATGCCCCCATTGCCCCCATCCCCGCCTGTGCTCCCTACCCCCGTGTCCATCTAGCGCCAGTCCCACTGCACATCCCCAGACATACACACCGCGAAATCACCTCCCTTGTACTAGATCGAGAGGAGCTGAGAAAGGCCAGTAAATAAGAGGGGTGGCGCCTGGTTCGGGCAGTCCAGGGACCCCTGACCTCCGGGGAGGGCGCGCTGCTCACTCAACCCCAGGGGATCCACTCCGAAGAGGGCCCCTGGCGTCCGCAACACCCCTCTCCCAGCCAGGGCCATACCAACGTGGCACAAGTGACACTCAACAGAATGCCTGATCACAATGGCACCCAAGGGGGGTGTGGTCCAACCAAGCCCCCTGCAACACATGCAATCGCCCCCCTTGGGCCACTAAAAGAAAAAAGAAGAGGGAAGCAAAATCCTCCATGATTGAGGCATGGAGCCACAGATGACCGCCTTGTTGAAGTGCGTCTACTCCCCACTGATACAAGTCATGAAGCAGGCAACGTGGAACGCCCCACTAACGGGTCCGGATGAGGGCATGGGGCGATCCTATCTACAGGTCCGGGTGCAGAAGAAGGGCAGCTATCACTAGTGGTAAATGATAGTGGAAGCTTTCAATGGACTGCTTTACTTAATACTAATGTACTAAAATACACATTGCACCAGCGCAAACACCGCTTCCACCAAACGTTTCTCTTTGAGAAAGCTTTCGCGCATACTTTACAGCCGTTACGAAGGGAAGGCTAGGCTAGGCTAGGGCTGGTTCCTGCATAATGCAAACTTGCAATAATGGGTACCTGATACCCCAACCCCACCCACCACCACCCCTCCCCGCAACCACTTTGTTCCAAGCTAGCGCCTGGGCACCCCCCAAGGCGTCTGCCCCAAGGATGCCACCGCTCCTTTTTAAACCGGAAGTCGTGGCGATCGACCTGTTGGGTCGGTGGCTACTAACATATTGTCAAATTTGAACATGCCTCCCCCCCCAACGGTCACAACCCCAAAACCGCCAATTGTTTCCAGTCTGCCGCTAAGGAGGTGCTCCAAAGAAGCCGACTAGGGGATGCCCCGTTGGGTCGATCGCCGCGTACAGAGTTTTTGAAATCCGAACCCACCCCACCCTACCCGCCGCATCCCAACCCCACTCCCACCCCCAGCCCACTCCCACCCGCAGCCAAGAGGCCCAATGTGAAAGATCGCGGCGCTCGACCCATTAGGTCGATCACCTTCAACCGATTTTCAAATTTGGCCATTCCCAATCACTCCGCCCAGCCACAGTCCGCCGCAAGTTCTCCTCGGCAACGCTGCGCCGCGCCGTTCTTCGGCCTCCCCCGCTGCTAACTCGCCTGTGCGCCCATCCATGCTCGCCACCAACCGTGACCTAAAATTTGAGCATTCCCCGCCAACCATCCCCCAAACCCCAAACACGCCGCCTACCCCGCCCCGCCGCAATCCGGATTCCCCTCGGCAATGCCGTGTCGCGTCGCCTTCCGCCCTTCCCCGCCACCCCACTCACCCAGCGCTTGAATGGCTGCTCGCCTCCATCCGGGCCTCGGCAGCACGCGCTGCTGTCCTGCAAGGTTCAGGTGTTCGCGGATAGCCATGAGCAGGGGGGGGGGGGTTGCGGGGTGCGGGACGAAGAAAAAAAAGAAGGTAATGGGTGTCCCCATCGGGTGCCGGCCATTTCGTCTAAAGACAGCTCGTCTAACGGACAAGTGGTCTAAGGACATTACGCCTAATAGACAACTCGGGTCAATGGAATTTTAGACAAGTTGACTTGCTCATATTCGCATCGCACCTGCTTCCGATGGCCCTCACTCGTTCAACGCATTCCCCTAAACCCAAAAACCAACTCACTGATATCCGCATTCCAACTCAAGCTGGTGGTCGGAGGGCCCTCTGTTGGCGCGGTCCCCCCTTGGCCGCGTCCAGGTACCCTGGCCCGCGCTCTAGGGCCTCTTCGGTGGAAGCGTGGTCGTCCTCGGCCGGACGGCGTGTCCCGGGCTCTCTCTGGCCCGTGGGTGACGGCCGCTCTATGCGGTCCCATCCGAGGCGCGCGGCGGCTGCGCTCGAGGAGGCAGGGAGGCTCCAGAACAACCGATCGCTACAATCGGCGCCGTCGCCTGGCGCTCTTACATGTGGCGGCCAAAATAATGAAAATCATTATTTTCATTAAGCATCTCCATTTTGGCCAAACCCGTTTTCCGGTTAAAGGCCTCACTGCGCTTGGCTGTTGCGGTCCTGGAAGGCGCCGCTGGTTTCCAAAGCTTGCGGGGTCGCCACGCCCTTCGGCTCAGTTGGTGAAGGTGCAGCCGGCTCTCTCCACCACGATTGGTGGGCAGAATCGGGGCGCCCGTTCCCTTGGATGCGCGGTGGGCCCAGAACGATGGGGATCGTCCCCCGGGGCCTGTTGTATGCGGCGGGTGGTGGCACAGCCGGTCGGTGGCTCGCTGGTCGTGGAGAGACCAGACAGTGGGCCAAGAACGGATTACACGATTCACAGCATGCGCGCGCACAAATCCGCATGCGCGATGCCCGATCGCGGGTCCATCGCTGTCATATCAAGAAAGACAAGTCAGGTGCACATTCAGGCACATCGTCACCGTCCACCGTTCACCTACGATCGACCTAATGCCCTCTAATTCCAAGCATCGAACATCCGACCCCTTGGCCCTAAGTACTGCAACTTCAGAAGGCCATATCTTCGCCGTTTCTTAATGGAATCGGGCGTTTAAAAGCTCGTTGGAACCAGGAAGCTCTAAATAACATCCCCAAATTCCCCAATTACGTAATTCCCACTCCAGAAATGTCAAATAAGCCTAAACCCCAAGCAGCCACGTCACAATACTCCCCCCTTGGGGTAGCTTTCGCCCCCGAAAGCACACTATCCCATACTAGTGTCTTCCTCGGGCTTGTCCCTCTTGATCATCTTCTGGAGCTCTCTAGCGTAGGTGAAATTTCCAGCCGGTATCCAGGAGGCATCGTCAATACTCCACCCTGTCCATAACACCAAAAACTCCTTATGCCTCCTGCCACTGGGTCCTGCCCATCTCCATCGCAGCAGCTTCTCAACTTCGTACGGTTCATCAGCCTCTGGCTCGATCTCGGCGTCATCTGACTCCTGTGGGGTAGACCATCTGGACGATCTAAATGGTCGTAGCAAGCTGGTGTGAAAGACATTATGAATCCTCCACCCTGCTGGTAGCTTCAATTCGTAGGCCACTGATCCCACCTGACGGACCACAGCGAATGGTCCTACGAACCGTCGCTTCAGTTTGCGTACAGGTGCATTCTTCAATTGTAGATGCTTTGTGCTGAGTAGCACCTATTCCCCACTGTGAAACCTCTGTTCTCTGCGCCGCTGATCGGCCTGACGCTTCTGCCTCTGCTGAGCCTAATGAACTGATTGCATCGCCCTTCTGAATGTTTTCTTCATCCTGCTGACAAAGACGTTGACACCTTCAATGTTGGTCTGGTCTATATCCTTGATCAGGTCCAACGGGGTCACTGGCTCAAAGCCATAGTTTAGATAAAAAGGCGTGTACCCCGTGGATGGCGATGAGCTGCTGTTAATCACGAACTCCACCATGGGCAAGTATTTCTCCCAATGAGTGACTTTCCGACTGCCATGGATTGTACACCTGAGGACTTGCTCCACCACCCTATTGGTTGCCTCTGTCTGTCCATCTGTTTGAGGGTGATGAGCGCTGGACATCCTCAGCTTGCTGCCCAAAATCTTCCAGAATTCTTGCCAGAACTTCGACACAAATCTGGGATCTCGGTCACTGACGACCGATCTAGGGATCCCGTGAAGTCGTCCAATCTGTTCCCAGTAAACATGAGCTATCTTAGCAGCAGTGATGGTCTGCTGGACTGGCACTAAATGTACCATCTTGGTAGCTCGGTCTACCACCGTGAGGATCCCATCATTTTTCTTTTCACTGACCGGTAGTCCCATGATGAAGTCAAGGCTGACATCACTCCATTTTTCTTCTGGAAGTTGCAACGGCTGAAGAAGTCCTGCTGGCAACTTGTGGACACTTTTCTCTGACTGGCAGACCTCACAACCCAGCACAAAGTCTCGTACATCCACTGTGTGATCTGGCCAGTAGAAATTCTGCTGTAATTTCTTGAGTGTCTTGTGGTAACCAAGATGTCCGGCATATGGTATTGTATGTATCTCTGCCATAATTTTCTTGCGGGCGTCCTCCACATCTGGTACCACCAATCTCCAAGGTTGCCTGTCCTCGGTGCTGTCCTTCAACTTGATCTCAATAAATCCATGGTTCAATCGGTAGTCACGATTCCTGATCCTGGTGACTCGTCCTTGGGCAGATTCCAACTGATTCAAAACTTCTGCCCATCTGCTGTCTTGCTTGTAGCCCTCTTTTATAGAGTTCCTCAAGTCTTCCTCCAGAGTAATCCTGGTGCTGGTCACCAATAAAGAATGTAAAGAATTTTGCTCCCCACTTGCAGCCACCACTGCACCCTCAGGACTGGACTTTTAAATATTTCGTCCAGTTTCTTTTGAATATCGTTTTCCCCGCTGTCACCCTCA